TTATTTGTATATTTCATATCCTTATTGCTTCCGCACTGTGCACATGGCTACATCACCCTCACGTGACGGCCAACACGCCTTGATTTTAGGTCGAGGTGTGTCAATCAGTATTTTTAACCTTAAACAACTAAAACTCTCCCTATGCTAGAGCCCACCTTAGCCCTGTTACTAGCTCTGCCGTTGGTCGGGCGGTGGGCTAGCACCTAGCGCCTAGGCGGATTTAGGTAAATTCTTGTATATCTTGTAAATAAGTTTATATTGACATTTACAAAAAATTATACTTGTATGAAATACATGCATAAGATAATAAAAGAATGATAAAATGCAAAAACAATATCCAACAAGTCCAAAATTTAAAAACACATTAAGCATATATGTTATATAACCATAGTGAGGAGTATTGTAGGATGACACATGTACAACAAGTTCACAATTTAAAACAACATAAAATGGAAAATAGGAGGAAAATAAAGAAATTTAGTAATGTAAGATACTCATCTTTAGCATCCCGGAATTTAAGTTGATACACAACACACCTATTCTATAAAATTAACAAAATTTCAAGGTATAATTAGAACTTAGATTTTAAACAAATTTCATAAAATAAATAAAATAAAAAACCACCCAGCTACCTAGCACCGCCTAAAGCCACCCCGATTTTTCCAGCTGTTTTGCACAAAATTGCCTTAGTTCCAAGGCGCCTAGGGCGTTTTTTAGAACATTGCTTATGTACCGTTGGATTAGGTTCTTTCATCACAATCTCATCCATTGGTTTATTTATGTTTTAGGTTTATGTCTCTAAACTACCAATGTTAATTTTCATCATCACTTTTTTTTTTATAAACTTTTCAACCTAAAAAATTAAACACAAAGCACAACATTTTTTTTTAAACAATTTGTCCCAGCTTCATTTTTCCCAACAATTGGATCTTCACTAATCACAATCCATGCTCAACTTAGCGATACATCTTCCTCAATCGAGTAATTTGTGCCTTTTTGTGATTTTTCTGCCATTGGTAGAAAAGGATGAAAGCAAATAGACAAAAAAAAAATGTTACAAATAACAAATTTGGCAAATGAAACAAAAATTGAGAAGTTTCTGAATGATACAAGTTTTTGGAGAAAAATTATGTCATATTTATATTAAGGGTAATGCTAGGGAGACAAAATTTGTAGACAAAATTTGCAAACTAAATGATATGTCACCAATAAAAATAAGCACATTTATCAATGGTTAAGTAATAATGTCACAGCCCGTCCCGAGATTTTCTTATTAATGACGTGAAATGTCGGATTTGCCCTTAGCGGGGGCTAAGGTACGTGTGTGTGACATTATTTGGATTAATTCTATATAAGTTTTGGATTTAAATTTTAGTTTTATAAAATTTTGGTTAGGGAATTAGATGATGGAGGGTGAGGATTGGATGTTGGACCATCTAAACCCCCTGCTCTCTCCCTTCCCGTAACACTCTCTCTCTCCTCCCTCACGACTTTCTCTCTCTCTCTCACTCTCGAAGTGTACGGACGAGACCCAAAACCATCCAAAACTCAGTGGATCGAAGCAAACAAGGTAAGATTCTTCATCCTTGTGATGTTCTGAGTTGATTAGTGCTAGTTTTAGGACGTGGAACCTTCGATATCACGTGAACCCGAACCCCTCATTTTTGGTCACTGTTCATGCACACGTGAAATGTTGTGTTTCAGGGAATTCTAAGCTTATTGTGAGCTTAGTGAGGTCCCAAGGAAGCTCGGAGTGCTTCGTTTGAAGGTTTTGGACGTCGGGATCACTAGGTTCAATTTTGGCCGGTTTTGCTTGGAATTTTTCGATGAGATTTAGTTGTTTTTGGAGCTTAAAAGTAGTGTATCGTGATTCCACATGTTTGGGGCTTCAAATTGATATAAAATACGAAGAAAATGGTTGAGAAACGAAGGAGAACAAAGAGTTTCAAATTTGGCTGGAAACCGGCCGCCGGAAAGTTCAGTCCGGCGAGCCGAGGTTAGGGATGATGCGCGTGGGGGCGCGTGTCCCCGTGCCTGTCCCGGCGCGTGGGGGCGCGTGCAGCTTCCAAAAATTTATCTAAAAATTTCTCGACGTCCGTGATGTCGAGTAGGTCGATGTGGTATATTCATATACCCAAATTGAGCATCGTATGAGAAGTTATTTCGAATTGTTGGTTATGTGTTTAAATTAACGTTTTTATAGTTGTTTCGCATATAGGTGACACCTATCCCGAGGACGAGCGCATCCAGGGACGTCACAGGGGTTACGACCCATCGACTTATTAGTGAGTGGGCAGTTTTGTTTTTGTATTACCTATATACTACTGTTTTCCCAGAAAATGCGTTTATATGAAATTATATTTCTAAAATGCCATGCATGTATATTATGAGTTATGAATTGATAATTGATGCATATATATGTGTGAATTGGTGCCGTGGACGCATAGGTGAGTATCAGGTGAGTTTATATAGTTTATATGAATGAATGATGATGTGATTATGTTGTGAGCTCATAAACTGCACCTTTGGTATTAGTGCTTATAGTATTCACCACACCGCACGCTCGCCTTGGATCCAAGTAGGTGGATGTCGTACAGACCACTAGAGGTGGTTCCGACATGCCAGTCGTACAGACCATTAGAGGGGTTCCGACTGGTGGGTGACTTTAGATTATGTGCACAGATGATTGATGAGAGAAGCACTAGAGCGTATTATTTCACCATCTTAGTCGTACAGACTACTATAGGTAGTTCCGACTTATGTGCAGTGTAGTGCCGTACAGGTCACAGTTGGTGACTCTGGCACGGCCGTACAGGTCACAGTTGGTGACTCCGGCTGGATGGGATATTGAGCTATAGAATCAGCCGTACAGGACCACTGCAGGGTCTCCGGTTGATTTATTATTTCACCTGAGTTATATTAATGCATTCATATTATATTTTGGCATGGCATGGCATATTCTTTCTGAGATGTTATGTTGATAGATGGTAAGCTGAGTTTTGATGATTTATGTATATATATATGTTTATATACTATTTTTCTGGGAAAGTATACAGGTTTTACGGTGAGGGGTTAGAAATGTTTTAAATGAAATGGTTTGGAAAATCTTTGGTTTTACTGACCCACTCATCTTTGTTTTGCGCCCCTCCAGGTTCTAGTTAGCAGTTGGTGGCTCACGAGGTCTTTTTCGGCATTCTGACAGACGTTCTGCATGTAGGTCTCACCTGCGGGTGTTGTACTTTAATTATGGTCCTACTTGACTGCACTTATACCTACGCTCTGAATTCATGTGTTTTACTTTATAACTCTCTCTTGTATGCTAGTAGGTTATGCTGCTAGTGGTTGGTTTAAATTCCTTCATATTTCTGTTATATCTTGCTTCCGTGTCGCACTTTTGGCTACGTCACACTCACGTGACGGCCAGCACGCCTTGATTCTAGGATCGGGATGTGTCAAATAATCCAATCATCAACTTTCATGTTATTTAACTCACAAAGTCTTGTTCACAAATTTAATGTCCCTAGCATTATCCTTAGTTTATATGTGAAGAAAAAAAGAATAGCAAAACAAAACAAAACAAAAATCTATCCGTTGAAAATAATTATCCGTTGAAATCATGCATTTGAAATTAGGAAATGTATTAGCTAGCTTTTATGATTCGAAACTGCTAATTAATGGGAAAGGGTTCACATTTATAAATCAAGAATCTAGTTTCCCATATAAATAACATTCATTCTTCACTGTGAATAAGTAGTCATTTCTACTCATTTAAAATTGTAGTCATTCTTTTTCTCTACAAATGAGTTTTTGAGATGAGTAGTTATTCTTTCTAAGATGTATTGCAGTTTGATATGTATACAACTCTCAGTTGGTATAATAAGTAACTGTCTCGCATTATCACAAACCTAATACATATATTTGCAATGTGAAGCAATTTATGCACACTCGTTTTTCTACTTCTCGAATACTCTGTTTATTTTTAACTTAATTCTAATGTGATTTACGCAATACAAGATTTAAAAAATGCACAGAAATCACTTTCCTATATGAAATTGAGCTATATGACTATAACTGTAAGTAAGAAAATATATACTGAACAATAATTAGTCACTCTATAGTTACTTAAGACTTACACTTGAAAGCTCCGCAAAACAATATTGTAGCAGAGTTACAAACCAACTCTTAATATTTTTTTATTCGATAGTATTGTGGTTTCGAGCTAAAATCTCTCACTTATAAGCTTAAAAATATAAAAAATAAAAATAAAAAATTAAAAATAAACATTAAAACGTAGTACTAGTGCCAACTAGCTCTTATTTAGTCACATGTTTCAAATTTCCCTTTTTCTATTGAATCCAAAAACAAAAGCACAAGGGAGCAAACTTTATGGCATAATTTAAGAATCTTTGTGCACAATTTCATGGCAGTAAGCATACTGATCCATTAAGTATCATCAATCAATAAAATCAAATGACATAAGAATCAATGTATAAAAATCAAATTGACAGAAGAATCAATATATAAAAATAAGCATGAACAACAAATCAAATACATAGTGTGTCATGATTCATTAATCTCCCAAATGCATGTGCAAAAGCTCAGTGTCAGCGTGCCATGAATTCAATGAATGTATCCTTCCCAATTGCATGTGTGTATCCATTGGCTGATTAAGAATTTTGACATCGAGAGTTGTAACGTAAAAGGTTAAAAAAAAAATTGGACAAAAAGAACATCGAGAGAATAAAAAATAACACTCTTTATATATAAATCATGGTAAAAACAACATTACCTATTGCAAAGTCTACCTAAATGTCCTTTTTAGACAGGCCATAAAGCTTTTACTATACTTTATGGAGAAAGAAAATAAAACAGGATTTTCTTACAATACTTAAGAAATTTTCTCTAATAGCTTTAGCTTATCTAAGTAAAAGGTCAACTTCTTGGGCTTTATCACTTTTGAGTCCATTTGGAATGCTAGCCCATATTGGGTGAGGGTCATGTTATGTGAAGCGGTCCATTCCATTTAATATTAGTAAAATGAAGTAAGAAACAACGAGGTCTTCTTCCTTGCGGAAAAGCTTATGTAACCTCACGTCTCCTCCATGGATGCATCATGCACCAGAATTTTGATTAGACCAACTATATATCGTCTAACAAAATAAACAAAGTGTTGGACGTAACCCATACATAACCCTAGACGTAGGTCGGACCCTCCGTCGAAACATTTGGAGGGTCCCTAAAGAACGTCCCTCCATAGGTGTTTCGGGCCTCCAGAGGATCTTTGGGACCACCTTGTCCTTGTATGTGTGTATCACCCATATACTGAAGATGCATAGGCACGTTCGGAGGATCGTTTCATAAATTCACATAGTTTAATCTGTTGATGTTTTTGGGAACAAGTAGCTGAACAATATGCTTACTTAACCCACTTCCTTTCTGCACTTTTCCATTTTGGCTTCTGGTACAGAGCTCCGTTAAGAAAGAAATGTCAACGAAAACACAAAAAAAAGTGTTGGAAAAAACAAAATGGCCGGTGAGTTAGAAGATCAACAGAAAGGATCGCATTTTAAAGACATTACTATATCCCTCAGGTCCTTGGACCCTGCATGATTATAGAGACAATGCAGAACTATAGCAGAAACCCTGTCGGTGACAATGCGTTAAATCTTCCACCATTATCATGACAAAAATGAAGATCAACGAATCGGAAGGAACCATGTTGATGCTGCTCAAGACATTCAGGACTTGCATCAAGCTAATCAATCGATTCAATGTTGTTCACCACATAGCATTCAAACAGACATCTATTAACCGAGAACTACTGTACAATATTTAACATGCGCTAACATGCAACACTAAAGAACATATAAATTAGACCATTAAAGATGACGGAGGCATTTTCAGAGTTCGGAGAAAAGCTCACAAACCTGCATTGAGAAACCAACATGTACTTTCATACCACACATCTCTGTCTGTCCACGAGCACCAAGCAGACCACAACGGTTTTCAGATTCAGCACACCCTGCACATCTCACAACTGGAGTCTGGACCAAACTTTGACCTCTGTTTACCACAGCGAGTATATACTCTGCTTCACAATTTCTCCCAGCCCTAATAAACCATACATGAACAATTTTGAAACATCACTGACTGCATTGAAGGAGAGTCATTTTCAGTTACAAGGCTTTTTGTCCTCCAGACAACAACCCAACTACAAGACATGCCTAAATTATAATTAAGAGAATTGACCTTAAACTGATACCTAAGAAGCAAAGTTCTAAAATACAATGAGATAACTACTAAAAAAGGTTAAGAATGTAAGAGTCGAGCAACATGGGGAAGCAGACAAACTTTGTAATGCAACAAATCAGTCTCCCTCCTCAAGTCAAAACCTCTGTGCCACAGATGCAATCATTTACAACAACAGAAATGAATCAGTTCTCCTGAGTCCAGATCTTCACCGTCTTGTCATTGCCAAGTGCACCAGAAGCAATTATGTTCTTAGTTGGGTGACATGATACTGATATAACAGTGTCAGTGTGACCTTCCAATTTCTGAACTACCTTCCTGCTTTGCAATTCCCACAAGTACAAACAATTATCTTCAGAACCACTTACAATGTATATCCCATTTGTCACAGAAAATGCGGAAGAAATGCAGAATCTCGAGCTCTTGTGACCGGTGTAAGTCTTTAAACATTTCCCAGTTGAAAAGTTCCAGAGCCTCTGCAGACACAAGATAGAAATTCCAGATCAGCTGTATGCAATAATTACTTCCGGAAAATGAATATAGTGCTCAGTTGCTCACGGTCTTCTTCTTTATTTTTTTGTTTCATAAAAGAAAATGAAGATGTAGGAGAGAGGGAAGGCCCGGAAGGGTGGAGAAGAAAGAGATGACATGAGACAAGAATATTAGCCACCCCCTTCCTCCCTCTCTAAAAAGTAAAAAGGTTGGTGAATGTGCATGTAATAATAACCGTTCCAGCTTATCAAATTGTTTTAACATAGTCAATTGTTCTCCCTATTGTACTTTCATGCACATAACATCATAGCCAAAGGATAAACCCACTTGTTTGTCTTCAAATCATGCACAGGGAACATACCAAAAATTGCAAAAGGAAATGGGCAGAAAACCAAAAAGTATTAGAAATGTGGCGAAGCATGTCAAAAAAGAGGGAGCATTACCAATTTACCACAGGAAATACCCATATGCCCTAACTCAGTTTTCCAAGGAAAATTTATTGAACCTACAATCTAGTTCAAGCTGCATTGTTCAAAAAAGCACGCAAAAAGCAGTAAAGTCCGATCTGTCAGATGCTGAAAGCAATGTGTCAAATGTGGCATCAACAGATAAACCTGGCCTAAACAACTAGTTCAGATGTTTCAGAACCAATTATCAGGCATTTCACCAATAAATAAATAACATCATACGAAAAGGTTGAAACTTGAGTAAGAACAAGTACGACGGAATTAATATTTTGTCATGAGTCCCCTCCTAACGTCTACTTTCCACCACCCAATTAACAGAGTTCTAATCAGTATTTAGCCTCCACCATCATGAATTTTGAAGCTCTTAATCTTATAAGTTGAAGTGAGCATCGATAGCGAATTCAAACAAAGCCATTCAAATTAAAAACGATAATCATAAATTACGAAAAACAAGAAGAAATGGGGATTGGGATTACCAGAGTGTCATCCAAGGTGCCAACAAGAATGTACTTTCCATTAGGCGCAAACTTAACAAACGAAACCGGAGGATTCTCATCGTCAATCAATGTCTTGGTGCAGTGGCCAGTGGAGGCATCCCAGGTCCTGCACAACCCATCGTAGCTGCTCGAAACGATAACCGAGCCATCCCGATTGAAATCAACGGCGGTGACAGGGTCGGAGTGAGCCGGCAAAACCTTCAAGCATTTCCCGGTCTTGACATCCCAAATACGCACCGTTTCGTCGAAGGAACCGGAGACGATCATATTGGACTGAGGGTTGAAGTTGGCGCAGAAGACGTAGTTGGTGTGGCCATGGAGGGTCTTGATGGTTTGGCCGGTGGCGACGTCCCAGAGGCGGAGGGTCTTGTCGTCGGAGGCGGAGACCATTAAGCGAGAGTCGGCCGAGAAGGCGAGATCGGAGACGCCCTGGGAGTGGCCTTCGAAGGTCTGGGCGGCGGAGATGGTGGGAGTGGAGGAGTCATCGGGGAAGGAAAGGGAGTAGGTGCGGATGGTCTTGTCGGCGGAAGCGGAACCGAGGAGGCGGCCGTCGGAGGAGAATTTGACACCGGAGATGGCGCTCTTGTGGCCCGTTAAGGTTTCGCAGAGGGTGTAGGGTTTGAAGGTCGTGGATGGTTCCTTCGACATAGGCGATTGATTAGGTTTAGGTTGCTGATTTTGGGGGGTTTGGGTTTTCCGGGGTTTTAGGATTTTCGGAGGGAGGGACTGTGACTCTGAGTGAGAATAGCTCAAGCACTCATTTGGATCGTTGGAAAATGAGTCCGGATGGATAACAGCATCTCCAAATAAACACGTATACAAGAGCTACTCCACCTTGGACCCTTACCAGCCAATCCACTATTCAATCCATCATTTGAACAGTAACTACCTAATAAACATTAACTGCTTTTTGTATCTCCGCCTTTGCACTTGAATAGTTCTGGTAATAGGCAATAAAATATTTTTTTTTTTTACACAAAATAATACTAAATAAATTTATTTGTAATTTCGAATAAGATATTTTAAATCGTTCTTGTTGCGCCACATGTCATTTACCCAAAACAACTATTATTGATCATAGATTTCGATAAGATTTTTATCCAATGTCATCGTGCCACGTGTCGTTATCTTTTCAGAATATTTGAGGATAGCTTTCGATCAGATTTTAAATCATTCTCGTTGCGCCACGTGTCATTATCCGAAAAGATAATTATTGGTGATGGATTTCGATAAGATTTTTATCCAATGTCGTGGTGCCACGTGTTGTTATCTTTTCAGAATTTTTTAGGATAGATTTCGATGAGATTTTTAACGAATGACGGCATGCCACGTGGCACTATCTACAACCTAATCATTTCAGAATCCTCTATATAATCCATCATCCATCCTGTTAAATCTCACACCAATTTTCTCAATATCTCTATCATTATTCAAAGTTTCTGCTTCCTTCTTCACCAAATCAAAATCTGTATCATTATTCATAGTTTCTACTTACAATGTCTTCTTCTTCAAGCATGATGTGGGAAATCGATCAAGAAGAGGAAGAATTGTTTAACCAATCTGAAGGAATGTTCAATCTCCATATAGCCCAAAATGAGAAGAAAGAGGATGAGGAGTGGAGAAGGAGAGATGACGAAGCAAGAATGGCCAGAGACTCACATTCTCGTCGAGTCATCCAAGCTGTGGGTCAGATATGTGATAGGAACATATTTATGCGACTTAGTTAGCTTGTTCTTGTGCATTTGTGTTGTTATTTCTTAGTTAATTATGTATTTTAAGCTATTTTCGTGTGTTTGTAGGTCATAATAACAAAGTTGGCAAGAAAGTGCATTTTGGAGCATTTTTTAGCCAAGATTGGATAGTGCAAGCATGGAGACATGAGGATGGACGTTTTTGAAGATTTGAAGGCTAGAAATCAACATGTGTGTGTGCAAGTGTGTTGACCTACAACTCCAAACATCCATCCACTACACTCATTACATCCACTCATTACCAAACATCCATCCACTACACCCATTACATCCACTCATTACCAAACATCCACCCACTACACCCATTACATCCACTCATTACCACAACACTCACCCACTACACCCCATTACATCCACTCATTACAACTCCATACACTCCTCTCCCTAGCCTATAAATACATCCACCCTTCACCATAATCCAGGGGCCATCATCCAAAGACACCACATCATCTACACAACTCTCCACCCTTCACCATAACTCACCTATATCCATCCACCACCACAAGAGACCATCCATTCACCACTCACACCTTGGTGCCGCATATTTGCAAGGAAGGAGGATTGCTTGGAGTTGTGCTAGTCATTCAATTTGGATTGCTGGAGCATTCTAGGTGTATTCTACTTTGGTTTTCAATGTTTAATTTCAATTGTTTCTGTTTAATTGTAAGTATGAGGAACTAAACCTCTTTTGGCTAGAGGAGAATTCGAAACCATGAATATATTTGCAATATGAATTGATTTCTTCCAATTGTGATTGCAATTCAATTATCTATTTTATTCATAACGGATTTGTGTATGTTTATTAAGGATGCATACTTAGTTTTCATGCATGAATTTGATGCTAGGATATAAATAAGTTTCACCTAATCGTTACAAGTTTATATTCATGAGTAGTGAAGGTTGCTTGTCACAATCGCGTTAATTGAATTCTTGGCAAACGTATCATGCATTCAGAGTTACAATTGCCTCGTCAACGCTTATGATTTTCATGGAACTTAATGATCTTTAATTGTATCTCTATTATGCATTCATATAGGGGACTTTTAGAGAATGATTTGGGTTGTCGCATGCATTCATCCAATTCAATGAGTAAAGGAAAATCTGAGGGTTAATTTGTGCATCACGGTTAATCTGGGGTGTTGAGCATCATAGTTTGTTGAAAAGCAATTGGAGATTGATTTGTATGCAAGTGTGTCATGTGTGGAGAAAGACCTTCTAGCTAGCCCATCATCCATCCAAAACAACCAATTTCATGCAAATCTGTTTAGTTTCAGTTTCTTATTAGTTTTACTTTATTTTCGTCCAAAACCCAATCCCCTTTTACTTTAGTGTGTCTAATTAGTTAGAATATATTTTAGTTTGTGTTTTTAAGTGTTTTGAGTCTATAGAGTCTAGTTAAGTGTTTTTAAGTTTCTTTTTGTAAGTCAGTTTAGTTTAGATTAGCAATCCCTCCTAATCCCCGGTCCAGAACGATCCCTACTTATATATATACTACAATTGTCAAAAGAGGGTTTAATTTGAGTGCTTAACTTTAATCGCATCAAATTTTGGCGCCATTGCCGGGGATTCGCAATTTTGCTAATCCCTTGTTATTTCTTTTTGTTTATTTTCATGTTTTTTGTTTTAGTTACTGACTTCGTTTCTATTTGTGTCTCTTATTTTTACTTATGAAATTTGATTTAGTTTTGTTTCCTTGATTTCAAGTACTAGAGAAGCAAGACATGGATTTTGCTACTATTCAAGCTCAATTGGCGAAACTTACTTCTCAATTGTCACAATATGCCGAAAGGACCACAATGCAAAGTGTCCCTACAGATGGTGTGTCCCATGGGCAAGGATATCCAACTCATCAATGTTCTCAATTCGCTGCGAATGAAGATGCTTGGGGTTATCAAGGCCGTAGCCAATCAGGGGACAACATGTTTTCCAACGCTTACAATTCGGATTGGAGAGATTATTCAGATTACATGTGTGGAGAACCGCAATAATTCCAACAAGATGGATATTGGCAGCAAGAAGAGGAGTTCTATCACTGGCCATATGAACCATCACAGCCACCACACAATCTACCCAATTCAATTCAGGTACATCTTTGAATAATGATATGTTTAATAAGTTACTCACCTCTTTGAACCAGGATGTAAAAAACCGAAACAAAGAGGTGCAAATCAAGCCAAGAAGACAGGCGAATTGGAAAAGCAATTTGGGCAAATTATGGAGTTCACGGCACAAATTCAAGAGCAAAGTGAATTCTCCAACTCAACTGTTGAAAATTTGAAGGAAGATTTTGAAAGCCATGATGCTATCACTTTGGGAAGTGCTATGGAGGTTGAAGGTGAACCGAAGACATCCAAACCAAGCCAAAACATGGATGAACAGCTGATGCTCGAAGAAGAAGAGAGTAACAAGGCCACGGCAAGGAAAGAACCACCCTTGCCACAGCCCTATATGCCTTCTATGCCGTCCACTACAACCAAGATAAGCCTAAATTCAATTTGTCCTGACCCCGTTTCACCAAATGTCCTTATTCCTTGCAGGATCATACAATCCAAGGAAGAAGAGGGTGAGAAAGACATCTTTAAAACCTTTCCAAAGAATCAAGAGCAAGAAGTGGATGGGGAATGTCTAGAATTCATCAAAGAAGATACATTTGAAACGAAAATTCCCAAAAAAGTTGGATTTTATGACACAGGACAAGTCATAACTCTCAAAACACCAAATCTAGCCAAGTCCCATATCCTTGCAACCTTCAAAGATGTGGTGTTCGTAATTGAGTTTGTGTTGGAGCAAGCAAGTAAGCCATCTTCTCCAACTTCGATTTTATTATATACTAACTTGCTGATTTTGATGATTCAGGCACCTACACTAGAATTTAAACCATTGCCGGATCATGTCAAGTATCACCGTCCATTCAAGGATCAATTCCATGCTATGGGCCCTATCCAAGTTTAGAAGGAGGTATCGTCCAGCTGGAAGACGTTAAAGCAAGCGCTTCTTGGAGGGCAACCCATGTATTCAAATAAGGAAGATTTTTGAATTGCTCCACAATCAGTTTTGCGATTCTAAAAACCTTCCCTTTTCTGTAGTTTTATTTTGCCATGATTGTCATTTTTATCTGTTGCTTGTTTAATTGTTTTTTGTGTGGGTTTATTTTTGAAACACTGACAGTTATGCAAGGTATTTTTACATTCATAAAAAGGACAGGAACATTAAGCAGATAAATACAAGAGGGAGCCTTCACAAAGGCTGCTTAGGAGAAGTCTCATTATTCGGCGGAGCCTCAGCAGTCAGCGGAGCCCCAGAAGGAGGAGGCATCGGAGGTTGATCATTTAGAGCTTCATTACGCGGTATAGCCCCAGAAGACGAAGGCAAATGCTATTGGAACAAACCCACAAACCTCTGATGATCAAGTAAAATATGACCATCAGATTCCTGCATCTGGTCAATCTTCCTCTTCATGTTTGTAGCATAATTATGTGCGAGCCTATGCAATTGTTTATTCTCATGCTTAAGCCCTCTAATCTCATGCTTGAGACTCATCACTTCAGCCGCCAATGATTTAACTTGACGGGTTTGGGCAAATAGGCGTTGGGCCATATTCGACACGGAACCTGCGCATTGCACACTGAGAGCCAGAGAATCCTTAACAGCCAACTCATCAGATCGTTTGGCAAGTAGTCTGTTATCTGTGGGAGTGACAAGGTTCTTGGCCACCACCGCAGTTGTCATATCATTCTTCATCACCGAATCCCCAACAGTAAGGGGACCAGTAGGGGATATGAAGGATGGGCGCCATATGTTGTCTGGAGAAGGCGGGACTGCCTCTTCACCAAGGTTCAAGTCAAAACGACGGTCGGAGGGGCCAAACATTTTCAGAGGTGTTAAAGAAAGAAGAGGTCGGACAAGTCAAGTTCGTAGAAGTGCAAGAAGGGAGTTTCTACGGGCAGAAATTCAAGTGTGCTTTGAACGTCCTGCGTACCTCTATAAAAATCAGTACTCGACGGGATTTCAGAGATCGAAGGCGAGCTCAGAAATCGAAGAG